TCAACGTAAACCAGGGGGGGGGGAATCAACGTAGACAGATTTTTTTTATTTTGCTAGGGTTTTTATGAAAAAATCATAAAAATACCACCCCCCCCATTTTTAAATTTTTATGAACACCCCCCCCCCCCCCTTTAAATTTTTCCAAACAAAAATTTTTTTGCACCCCCCCCCCTCTTTAAATTTCTGGCTACGTTCCTGAGGACCCCCCAAAATGCGCAACTATAGCTGACAACCCCAGAACCACTTCCAATTCCCATACAAACATAAATTTCACCACTTCAACAGGAAGGATTTCTAGATTTCACACAAAGCCAAGAAAAAAACGACGAAGACGAGAGTAATGAACGCGCGTAGCTAAGAACGTGGCATCAGAGGAGGGTTAAAGGAAGAAAATATTTCTCGAAGATTACTTCTGAATGAAAATTAATTTCCATGTCATTTATCATTCATGACTTTTCTTCGCCTTTCTTTAAGCGTGCTTGGGAAAAAAAATATTTTCAGCACAAACTTTTTTTTTCATTTAAAGCGCCAAAAATTCTTCTTATTTTTTATTCACAAAAGAATTTCGAGGCTATTTAAAAAACTTTAAAAAACGTGAAGATATTAAAAGCGAACAACATAATTAATTAATTTAATTAAACTCTTTTCTCGCTCGGATGGCTGTAAAGGATGAACTTTTTTATTTATTTTTTAAAGAATTTTTTTCAAAAGCTTCATAATGAAATTATTCATAATCATAAGCGTCAAAAGCTTTACAGGAATAACACAGTGTAACTATATTCTATCGCAGGTACTTTGTAGCAAAGGTGAAGGGTGGATTTCCTTTATAAAATGGGGATTTACATTTTACTTTGAACTTTCAAAGCAAATTTTATGGCTTGAAAAAGTTTTTGAAAAAAGGATGTTGATACTTGTGAGATTCTAAAGGGATTTATGTCAGTAATTAGGTTATCTAGCGTATAATTTCTATGGGAATTTTTATCCTTTTTGAGGAAACTTATATTGCTTTAAATTTAAGATTATTTCTTGATGATGTTGAAAATAAGTTTAAAAAAGCTTTTAAAATATTTTTGAATTTTTTAATGGTAATTATGAGATCGGAATTGAGTAAATTTGTGGTATGGAGCCATAAGTTGGTGAATCTGCCAGTGTAAGAATTAAGACTCTGTGTCACGATTGGCTAGGCAACAGATCGGATATCTGTAACACTCGTTTGTAAGGATTTATGTTCGATTCCCACCAGATCGGATATCTTTAACACTCGTTTGTGAGGATGTATGTATGTCGTCAATAAATGCAATAAAGTGCAATTAAAATGTTAAAAAATGTGGGTTTGAGTCCTACCAAAGACCGATCTCTCAATAAGTATATTGAGTGTTATCGATACGACTAGAGTTCGCACAATTCTCACGACATTAAAATAGGTAAACTATGAAGAGGGCCCAGCCTTTTGAGCTGGAGGCACTGCGATTCAAATTAAAACAGAATCTTTTGTGCCACTCTCTTTAGACCTACAGTTTATAGTGGAATCCGAACCACTTGCAACTTGCTCACGACATTGCTTATCCGAATATCTCAAGTCGGTTGATCGATCAGATATCTGGCACCAAGCTGGCATGACTCTAGCATGGTTCTGGATCTTAATCGAAGCCAGAGTGCAGAATTAAAATTCAATTAACCGTCTTGTGCTATTCGGGTTGCTTCTTTGGCTTAGGTGCATGTGGACCCATTGCCGTGCATAGAAAACATCTAAAGACAGCTCTGTCAATTGAAGCCTTCTGCCAGTTTGGGATATTAAAGACTCATTTTCAACACAGCAAATCTAATAATTCTTTGGCTCATGGCTTTATAAGAATCAATTTAAAATTTTGGATATTTATAACTTAAACCTTAGAATTGCTTAGAATCAGTTCACTCATTTTTTAAACTCACTGTTCTTAATCTTGAGAATAAGCTAAGAAAAAATTAAAAATCATTTATCACAAACAATTGTTACAAATTTTAATTGAGTCACCAACATCTCACAGACACCCTAAAAATAAGCCAAACTCACAAATTATATCTTATCTCATATTTCACAAAACTTTCTACTCCAAAAATGATCTCAAGAGTTAAGATCTCATCAAAATTTTCCCCTCAAACACACTCATAATTAATTAAAATGACGAGAAATGTTTCAGCACAACCCAATATTGACACAAATTCTCGACAACTTTATCCATGCTAAGCTCATATTCTGACTAAATAGAACAACAATCCAACAAGCAAATTTAAATCGTAAAGATGAATTTTTACCCCAATAAAATGGTAACCACCTCAATTCATTATTCTATTTACATCATTGAAGACTTAAAATGTAAAATGGAAAAAGCGAGAAATCATCATCATGAAGCAAAATTCATTTCCACTGTCTGTTTGTGCTCCTAAAATTTGATTAAAAATATTTATTTAAATTATTATTAATCTTTGAGATGAAAATTTTGTTTCTTGAAGATTTTCTCAACTTTGCTGTTGTTGTTTCTTGTTCCTTTATTTTGTGATGTTGCTGCTTTTGCTCGCTCATTTTAATGTTTAAATATTCGCATAGCATTTTAGACAAAAATGTTTGCATATAAAATTAAATTTCGATTTTTTAAGGAACGGGTTTTTTGGGGTATTTTATAAATGATTTTTTGGAAGGATTGCATTATGTCCTCGTATCCTTTTTTGGGACTGACAAGGAGAGGGGGCTGAAAATCCCATTTTTGAAGGACGTTCTAAGGAAATGACTCCTTAATTCGTCTTATCTATAACACTTTATGTGATGACGGTTGAAGATTTCCTTACGGTAGGAATTGAACTTACATCCTCTGATATACCACAGAGTCCATACATTCGCACTCACAAATTCGTTTAAATTTATCTTAATATGGTTCGATAGTAGAATCTATGAGATTCGACGAATCTATGATCTGAGTTGATATCACTAAGTACATTCAGTACTAGAGTCGGTTCCTAGAGCTATTTGAGGCACCCTACTCGAATCTCTATACTCGAATTGTAGGATATCAAGTTCCAGTTTTAAACCAGGTTGTTTAGGAAGCTCTTCAATCTGGCTCCTTTTTTAATATAGAAACTCTGGGCCCGGTTCCTAGAGTTATTCGAAGGATCCTACGTCACTCTCAGAGTAATTTTATTTGTATCCCAAATTAAAGTCCATCGGGTTCAGTTTCAAAAGTATCAAGCAAGGATCATAATTTTTAAAACTTTAAAGCATATAAAAAGGATTCAGTCCAATAATTCAACAATAAATAAAAAGACGTTCTCATCTCGATCATAATCATCATCATCACTTCCAAAACTGCGTTCATCATTTTCGCTTCGAATTTACATGCACAAAATATTTAGATAATGGAATGTTGAGCATTCATTAAAACAGCAGCAAATGAGAAACAGCAAAGACAAAGTTTTTGTTCATTCTTGACTAAGGATATGACACGCTTCACATTCGTCAATCATCCATCATGAAATACGAGAGATGAATATTTTCGTGCATGCAAAGATTTAAGTGTCGTGTCCTTGAGATTGTTGGAAATGTTCTTTCTATTTCTGCTTTGTGGAAATAAATAATATTGAAATAGCTTTTTTTCTATTTGTTGTTTTTGGAGGAGAAATAAATCATAAAGTGAGAGAAGAATTTGAAAACTTTCATTCATTCGTTTGATGATATTTTAAAAACTAGCGGATAAGTTGGAGGGATTTTTGGATGTAATTTAGGTTTGCAGCGCATTTGTGAATGGCATTTTGATTTGCTATGAAACTGAAGATGTGGATTTAATTTGTGTGACTGACAAGGAGTAGCTGCTGATGAAATGATATCAATGGATTAAGGTGGAGAGTGTCGAGATTCAGGGGGGGGGGGGTAAAAAATTTAATTTAATTTAACTTTTTTACGGAAAATTAAGATGGGATTTTTAGGATTTTTTTCATAAAAACCCTAGCAAAATAAAGAAATTGCTGTTTACGTACCCCCACCCCCCTCGCCAACGCGTCTAAAAGGATTCCTTTTAAATGAAGGAAGCTTAATTATTAACTTTTGACAAGTGTTGCTAGATAAGGCAATGGAACTGATCAAAATGTGATTTGTCAGTTCCTATCCCTTATTGCTAAGTTGGTTGATTCAGAGATGCTGTGGCCATTTTTTCCCGAATATCGCTAGCCATTCTACAGAATGTCACTAGAGTAGTTTGAAAATTTGACTCCTTTGCGCAACTATTGGTCATTCTTGGTCATGTTAACTTGAATTCTAGCTCCTTATTGCACTTGACTAGCTTCGAAGGTCGGTTTGGACTTGTATGTAGAAGCGTATCCAGAAATTGTTCAAGATAGTGAGGAAAGTTGGCATTGCTGTACATTTTTTGAACAGTTTATCTAAATTCATTTTCCAGTCAACCCCAAAAAATAAATCTCACAAAACATTTTGCTTCACATTTTCTTAAAATTCTCAGCTAATTTTGCAAATGGAATAGAATTGAGATTGAAAAAAGAAAGGCAAAAACTTTTTCTCAAAGACGAAGCACAAAAAAATGCATAAATGGAAGAAGAATGAAATAAATTTTTACTTAAAAAGGAGAAATTTTTTTCTTTCACAAAAAAAATTGATTGAAGAACGAAAAAAAGTTAAAAATTCCATTTTCTTATTTTTTTTTCTTTATTTATAGAAAAGAGAAGAAAAAAAAATTCATCATCAAAATGCATCATGCTTGAAGTGAGCTTTAAAGGAAAATATAGAATGAACTTAGTGAATTGAATGATGAAAAGATGAAAGTTCATTTTTAATCGTCTTAATGAAACAAACATGATCCAATGAACTTCACAAATGATTCAGCTTTGAGTTGTTCAGCACATGTGTGTGAAGAGTGGATGGAAAAGTGAATAAAAAAATTCCAAAAGAAGTGATAACGAAAGAAATATCGAGAAATAAAATTGAAAGGAGAATAGAAAAATTTAGAAAATATAATATGAAAGTGTATAAAGAAAATAGGAAATTTATCAAATCTTGGCTTCTACACCTGTTGACAATAATATGCATTCACACAAATGTTTTTAATATAGGTGAGTTTTTGTTTATATTTTCTTAAGGATGAATATTGCAATTTTGAAGTTTGAATTGTGGTGTTCTTTGATGTATCCAAGGGTGTGGTACTGATGAAATGATCAAAAATGATCAAAATCTAATTCTTCAGTTCCACACCCTTGGATGTATCTGGTATATGGTCTATGATGAAAATTAATTAAAACTAGATTTTGGGTTTTTGTCCGTCCACTTATGAGCTCAGGGGGCGGGGGCAGCAAGAAAAGAACAATAGAAATTCCAGGAAATCCAGTGTTCTTTTTTGAAAAATGACCGTTAATTCTGGACGTCATAAGTAAACGGCCCCTTAGCTTGCCCTAGCATCATAGCTTTTAAGAACTGGAGTAGTTTCTTGAATCATATGCACCCCTACCTCTAAGATATGCACGGGCATCCATTATTATATTTTATTATTATTACTTTATTCATTCTAATTAAGCCAGAGCAGCGTCATGGCTGTATTAAATTGTAATTATTGGTTATTCAGTTGAAAAAGAAGTTGTAGAAGCAATTGTATACAGCAGTGATGGCAAACTCATGTGCCGTGGAACACTAGTATGGCACGAAAAATCTTGAAATTCCAAAAACCGTATGCTGTATGCAGTTTTGGTCATGGCTTACCAGCAAGGTGGTTCGTGACAGAAAAAAGGTTGCCCACCTCGGGTATACAGTGTACCTTAACCTTATAATTTAAGAGCTTGTTCTATCATCAACCAATGGGGCCGTTCACTTATGACGTCCGACATTTAGAGGGGGGGGGGGGGTTCTAGGATTTTGTGACAGTTCAAACAATGGACATTTTTTCTTTAGAATTTTTGTGACAGAGGCGGGAGGGGGGTCTAAAAATCAGGTTTTTTGATGGACGTCATAAGTGAACGACCCCTAATAGTATATCAATTATTCAGCTTCAGTTGCGTAGAGAGAAATTTCTTCATTTGGCAAGCAAAAAAATGGAAAGTAATCCCCTCCCTTCATTCCCCCCCCCAAATTTTTTCATGAAAAAAATGTTAAACCCCCCCTTAAATTTCTGGCCATGCCTCTGATCAGCTTGCAACCTTTCATCATTGTCTCCATTTCATATATAATCCGACATGAATAAGCCTGGTTTTCCTGCTGACCTATCAATTATTAAGATCAAATGAAACAACGAAGCAGTTCCGAGAACATGAAATTTCAATTGATAATTTTTAAAAGCATTACTGAGAAGGGAAATTATTCAACAATTAATATTTTTTTAATAATCGGAAATTATTCATTAATCTGATTATCAGGGCCATTTAATATAATCTCAAAAGGATGAAAGCGATTAATAAATTATAATTATTAATTTTACGTCCTACTTAAAATGTTGGATCGATTCTCGTGAGAACTATAAAGTTGATTTTAAATTCAACATAAGCTACCAAAATGTCCATATCCATACTCGATCTTATGTTAGAAGAAATAAAGAACTCCCGGCAAAAACTTCATTTAGTTTCAAATTAACACCACAAAACTGCCGTACATCCTCATTAAAACGAATTACAATTTGCAAAAAAAAGGAAAAGCCACAAACAAACGAATGAATCTGTTCGCTGCAGTTCAAAGCGTGTAATGTGGTGTGATTAAAATGTAAAAGCGGAATTCTGTTCATCATTAATTTGTTCATTTTGAAAATAATATACGCTGATGTTGATGATATGAGTGAATGCTCATATTTGTTTCATTGGGAACGGCTTATAAAGTTGCAATGTTTGACTGGAAACGCATTTATTTTGAAGATTAAATTTGGGAAACTTAAGCATTTTTGTCTGGGATGTGGACAGGAAGTTTTTAAGGAGTAGAGGAATTAAATTGACTGTTGACTTATTTATGTTGTGATTTTTAAGAGGGATAAGACTATCTAGGGTTTAATGTTTGGTAAAGAAAAGACTTCAGATCTTGGTTTTTGGTTCCCAATTTTCGGTTCTTGATTCTTGATTTTTGGTTCTTGGTGCTTAATTTTTGGTTCTTGGTTCTTAGTTTTTGGTTCTTGGTTCATGGTTCTTAATTTTTGGTTCTTGGTGCTTAATTTTTGGTTCTTGGTTCTTGATTTTTGGTTCTTGGTGCTTAATTTTTGGTTCTTGGTTCTTAGTTTTTGGTTCTTGGTTCATGGTTCTTAATTTTTGGTTCTTGGTGCTTAATTTTTGGTTCTTGGTTCCCAATTTTTGGTTCTTGGATCTTAATTTATGGTTCTTGGTTCTTGATTTTTGGTTCTTGGTGCTTAATTTTTGGTTCTTGGTTCTTAATTTTTGGTTCTTGGTTCTTGATTTTTGGTTCTTGGTGCTTAATTTTTGGTTCTTGGTGCTTAACTTTTGGTTCTTGGTTCTTGATTTGTGGTTCTTGGTTCTTGATTTTTGGTTCTTGGTGCTTAATTTTTGGTTCTTGGTTCTTGGTTCTTGATTTTTGGTTCTTGGTGCTTAATTTTTGGTTCTTGGTGCTTAATTTTTGGTTCTTGGTTCTTGATTTGTGGTTCTTGGTTCTTGATTTTTAGTTCTTGGTGCTTAATTTTTGGTTCTTGGTGCTTAATTTTTGGTTCTTGGTTCTTGATTTGTGGTTCTTGGCTCTTGATTTTTGGTTCTTGGTTCTTAATTTTTGGTTCTTGGTTCTTGATTTTTGGTTCTTGGTTCTTAATTTATGGTTCTTGGTTCTTGATTTTTGGTTCTTGGTTCTTAATTTTTGATTCTTGGTTCTTAATTTTTGGTTCTTGGTTCTTAATTTATGGTTCTTGATTCTTAATTTTTGGTTCTTGGTTCTTAATTTTTGATTCTTGGTTCTTGATTTTTGGTTCTTGGTGCTCAATTTTTGGTTCTTGGTTCTTAATTTTTGGTTCTTGGTTCTTAATTTTTGGTTCTTGGTTCTTAAATTTTGGTTCTTGGTTCTTAATTTTTGGTTATTGGTTCTTGATTTTTGGTTCTTGGTTCTTAATTTTTGGTTCTTGGTTCTTAATTTTTGGTTCATGGTTCTTGTATCTTGATACCTGATTTTCAGTTCTAGATTATATTCTATCATGATTTTCTAATTGAGGCTAATTAAAGAATCAAAAAATCTTACATTTCACAGTCGTCATTTACAAATGACCCATCCAAAATTGTTCTGATTTTTAAAATTTTCAATAACATATGATTTACAATCCTTTTTTCAAAATACAATAGATATAAACAATAAACAATTTTTAGAAAAATATTTCTAAAACTCTGCTAAAAAATTCACAAAGCTTTGTTCAGCCATCGAAATTCACATCGCATGTATTCCATAAAAATCCAGATTCAACATGAAAGCAGCTTACATGCACACACACAAAAAAAATCTGTTTGATGTATTCACAAAAGCATTGCGATAACTTAAAAATTCTAATGAAAATTTCATTCAAATGATCATTAAATACAGCATAAAGAGCGGATGGGAATGAATTGCTTTTATTAACCTAGCACAGCAGTGCTAGTCATTTAGTGAATGTATATAAATTTCATTTCTCGACATTAAAATTAAGCGAAAGGCAATTTTTTTTTTGCTTCTGTCTCACAGTCGACGTCTGTGGCTGTTGCACACACAAAAAAAGAGAGAAGAGTGAGTAAAGTTGGAATAATAATAAATTCAATGATTTTATATTGAAATTATCAAGTGAGAGAAATGCAATTGCATTTGGCAATACAATTAATGATTCCTTTCCTGAAAATTTATAAATGCCATTATTCTGTGCGGTATAATTTTCATTTAATTGCATTGAATTTTATTCACTTCATCGAACATTTTGATATGGCTGAATCGATAGCTGCAAATCTACATGATATTATCGAACGATATTCGACTTTATTCTTGTGGATTTTTTGAGACAACTTTTTAATGGTGGAAATTTATGGATGGTGGTGGAGATTATAGAGGTATGAGGTATAATAATCAATAAATGATATAAAATTCAGATAATGAATATATTATGCAGGCATCAATGGATTAGGTTCAGAATATTCATACTATTTAAGTATTGCATAACATTATCATTGTTATCCAACGATGCATCACATTAGGGGTCATATGGAATGCTAAGGAGGTCCAAATGGGTTAACACCAGGGATGGACAACCCGTGTGCCGTGAAACCCATGGACCATATGCTGTGTGTGGTTTTGGTCATGGCTTAACACCAAATGTACCGTGGCCCAAAAATGGTTGGGCACCACTGATCTAAACCTTCCACATACTGATTTTATTAATCGTCATCCTTCAGTGGTGCGACCCCCCCTCTCGCAAGAAAACCAAGAATTCAACGTAAATTTTAGCCAACTTATGAGTACCTGGCCCAAAAAGCAAATGTTTAGAATCAAGCAACTCTACAACAATCAAAAAGTATCAAAAATTCAAAATCAAATCCCAAGAATTCCCAAAAGAAAACCCGCAATTATACCACATTAATCCCTTCAGAGAATTCTCAGAAAAAATATATTCTAGGAAGATATCCATCTCAAAATTCCTCAATTTCCCTCAACATCAAAAACATTTCATTATACAAATGAAAATGAAAATTGAGAACGAAAGGAAGTGGAGAAAGTTTTTTTCTGTTAACGAATTTTTCCCCGCAAAGTGCTTTTCATAAACTTTTATTTATTTTTTGACTTCTTCATTCGAAATTTCTTCGTCGTCTTTACCCTGCAGTTAAGGAACAAACTAAATTATTCAAGAATTTGAATGCATAAATAAGAAGTCTCAATTGGTAGTTAACAAAGATCAATTTCTTAAACGGAAATCTCACTCAATCTCGACTCAAATTTCCCTTTTTGTTGAGATTTGATGGAGGGAAGCAGGAGTGGAGATAGGAATCTAGTCTAGGGGGTATTAATGTGGGAATAAGAGAACATACAAAGCTGTCTTGGGAGGGGGAAGGGGATAATAGGATTTTTTTAAAAAATCAAAATTTGGAGGACATAACTAGGGTGACCATCTGCGTAGTTTTTCAACGGACAGTCCTGTATTTTTCAAGACTGTCCTATATAAATTTTTAAATTTTGTTCTTGGTCCTGTATTTTTTTCATGAAAATTTCCGTTAATTTTCGAATTTTCCTTTGTGTTCTGCATTTTTTAGGAAATTTGTCAAATGTCCTGTATTTTTATGAAAATTAGATGGTAACCCTAGACATAACCGGCTTTTAATGAATGAAGGTGCTCCAACATGGTGCAGGAAAATTTGATTTAAAAAAGCTGAGAATTGGTTGGGGTCCATTCACTTATGATATCCAGTGGGGGGGAGGGGAGCAGCAAGAAAAGAACAATAGAAATTCTGAAAAATGACCTTTAATTCGGACGTCATTAGCGAACAACCTCTTGTTCTTCCTATCATTTTGTTTTTCTCTTGGATATCCCCCCTGACTGCACTCCTCTACCTCCTACATTCATGCCTACTATTCTTACTCATTGTTTGCTTTTTCTTTCATTTCCTTCACATCTTCATCCTTCTCATTTTCTGTTATGTTTCTCTGATTACAATTAAGTGGGTGAGTTTTGGAAATAAAGGCAAAAGTGGCAAAAAGTTTTGTAATTAAAGGAAGCAGAAAAAAATATTTTCTGAGTATATCGAAAAAGTTTTTGATTTCGTCCTAAATATGTGTTGATTAGAAATTGAGCGCCGTGAAGTATGACGAAATGAGAAGAAGATTGTCGAGAAGTCATGAATGAATTGCAAAAAGTTTGGTGCTGTTTGTTTTTGGTTGGGGGATTTATTTTGGGATTAATTGATTTTATTGAATTTTTTTTGAAGGTAGTTTGAAGAACCTTATGACAGGTTAGGGGCTGAGAAATGCTGCTGGAAACTTTTAACAAGGTTTTTAAATTAAATGTTGTGAGATTGATTGAAACTGAATGAATCAGTCAGTAATGATCAGTTTTCAGAGTGCAACTAGACAAAGCCATAGCCAAAATTTGGTTCGATGAGATCCAGTTCACCAGAACGTCCAGTTTTATATTTCTCTAGGTTTTATAGATTATTCTCTCTATTTGCAGTCCAGTCAGCTTTAATAAAAACACAATAATATTCCGAATAAAGTCAAACACCCCTGCCACTAATTCCAAAAATAAAATAATTCCCAATTAGGAATTAAATCACAGACCATTAACCAGAATTATCTCAATACCATCCAAAAACACAAAAATAAAGCTCCTTTTAGAACTTTTTTATATGAATACTCAATACTCAATGTTCTCATCTTCTTTTTCTATCCATTTTTCTCTAATCTCTTTCAGCTTTAGTCGCTAGTCAGGTACTAAATAATAAAAATAATGAGCCTATGTTTATATCGAGGTCAGAAGCTTTCAAATTTGCTGTCGGTGATACGATAACATTGCCATGTGAGGTCACGCATCCTGGTAAGTAACTTTATATCCACTGTCTTTGTCGTATGCTGACCGTATGTGTATATAATCAAGTCATACGACATTGGACATAAATTAAGTTCAAAATGAAAAAGAAATCCCACAAATATTTATGTACTGACTCTTTTATCTTCTATTTATACAGGCTCATACATGCTGGCATGGAAGCGAGGCATAGCAATATTAACAGTAGGCCAAGTTAAAGTCAGCCCAGATCCTAGAGTAAGATTAGTTAATGGAAATACTTTACAAATCCGTGATGCTGTACCCTCAGACGCTGGAGATTATATTTGTCAAATTGCCTCGTTTGAGCCACAAGAGATAACGCATCATGTGGAGATTTTAAGTAAGAATAAGATACATGTTGCTCTACTTCCATTCGACGACGACGACGACTATGAATTGAGAAGCAAAAAAAAAACTTTAATTTATTGCATCAATAAATATCAATTATTCTTTACTTTCTACATATCATGTCCATGTGTGTGGACGGTAATACATGAGGATCATTAGTGAGACTCATTATTATTAATGAAGAAAATGGAAATGGAAAGTCATAATTGATATTTTTATGAGCGACGCGTTGATGCCTTGAATTGAATTACTTTCACTTCCCAACGAGCTTTTTTTCTTCTTTATCTTGCTGTTTCATTGAGGAGAGCTTACAGCCATTAATGTTAATGATTTGAACTTTTATTTTTGTAGGACAATTAGGCTTTGAAGTTGTTTTTGATTTAATTTTACTGCTTGTGCCTTTTTAATTGACCTTGTGATGGGCATTAATTATTTGATAGATATCTTCATATTCATTATTAAAGACTAGCATAAACTGACTAAACCGCTTGAAATTGACTCTGATTTTGTTTGGAAAAATCCTTAGAATTTCCATCAACCATCCTCAAAAAATGACAATCTTGTCAATCGATCCAACTCAAATTTCCTCCAAAACAATATTGTTTGCTCAACTCAACGCTCATAAAACCATACACATGACCCTTATTTTCAGTGTATTCTCTCAATCATGGACTCATACTTATCAATATTATTCAGTCGATCAAATGTATCCCAAACATACATACACACAAAAATATAGATAAAGTTGATTGACATTTTAATACGAAAAAAAATCAACCCCAGACGTTCATCTCGGAAATCGATGAATAAAATTCATACAAATCATAAGGCATGCAAAATCCTTATAAAGGAGATTATCGACATATCGAAAAGCTTTAAGCTGCGTCATACAATTGAGTAAATGCTGAAATCCTATTTATTCGATAGGTGGACCTTTCTGTGAAATTATTCACAGTTTTTGGAGTAGTTTGTTATGCTTACTCGGCAGATTATTGGATGTTGACAGTGATTTCAGAGTTGTAGCTTCTTAAGTTTGAAGATTTAAGGAGTCTTGTTGCTTAAAACTTGTTTTTAATGAGAATTCTTGATCGAAAGACATTTTAGTTAAAATAAAGTTTGTCATGAAAGTTTTGTCATCAAAAATCTGCACGTCTATATGATGTTAGAGAATTTATACTTGTTGATGGGGATGAGGGAAGGTTCAGGTGACTCAAAACTATAACTTCCAGTAAGTATCGACCAACAAGGACATTTAGACATGGCATAATATTAGGAATACCCATTCCTAACCTCACATTTTGAAGTTTGCTACCAAAACCCCGTTTTTCCTCCAAAAACTGTTCCTCAACATACAAAATGACCACTTGCAATAATTAGGTACCGAAGCATTTAACCATTCTACCACCGAGCCACTTCAGCTCACAAAACTAAACTTCCCATAGAAAAGTATTAAAAAATTTTACATCCCAACTTCCTGTGCAAATAATTTTTCCTTTGATTCATTCAAATTCATCAAGCGTATCCAACAAATTTATGTAAAGTGGAGCAAAAAGAAACTTCAACAACTGAATTACCCTAGCAAAAATAGAGCAATGGAGAGCTGGAAAATGACATGAAAATTTTACGTTCCGTAAAATGAATATTCACAAGATGTACATTCCATGACTCGTCATTTTTTTTTGTCTTCAAAGTTTCCCTTGGGCTGGTTCTGGGTTGGATATTTGGGGTGTCAAAAAAGGTTGCAGACTTTGACTGATCCAGACAAGGAAGTTCCATGAAATTCAAATTACAATTCTACAAAATAAAGCATTCGAGAAATTTCTGATTACATTTCCAAAACTCCCACAGCAATTCCTCAATGTCATCACAATAATAAAGTACCAAGAAGGAATCCTCACAAAATTCTCGTAAGAATTCACAGAAGATAGAGACATCCTAGCTACAACATCGTAGAAATGAGCAGAAATATTTGCCAAAGTCTTACTTTAAAATATTTACACAAACATTTACCCAAAAGCTTTCATCAACGGATGGAGACGACTCTCTTCGTATACATTATGATGAGCTTAGACTTTAAACATTACAAAAATGGAAGAAAATAAGAAGATTCTTCATTTCCTTTCCATTTCTTTAAATGAAATATTTATTTCCGTCTTTGATTGCATCGAGTCTCTTTTTACTATCTTCTTATTTTCTTCCATTGAAATTCAATTCATTTGTTCAGCTCGTCAAAAAAAAATCTTTTCTTCATGTTTCTCAGGAGTAATTATTCTTCCGTGAATATTCATTCATGGTCGACTGGATGTTCTGCTCTTTTTAAATTTGCTCTAGATTCTTTTTATTTAAAAATATTGAGCATCTGGGGATGCTTTTTATTGAAAAATTGATAATTTTTCACGTTTAATCAGGTTATGAAATTTATTTGGATTCAATGGATTTTTACTAAGGTCAATGGGTCGTTTGGATGTTGCGTAACGTTAAAAGTTGTTAATGCTTATAAATTTAAAGATTTTGGTAATTTAAAAAAAAACATAAATCATTGACATCGGATTAAACTTTTCATTTTTATGTGGATTTCCCACTTGCGAAATTTAAACATTTATTTCTCTACTTTGAAAGCATTTACAGCTAAAGTATGACTACTTTCATAATCTACAGCCCGGAGTAAGCAACTTTTGAGAATTTCAGATTAATCGGTTGAGCGAAACTCTGTAGAAATTACTTTTTCAAAGTTACTGTGCAAACAAATTTTAACTTTACATAATATCCAATAACACCCATTGCTTCGTGCATTACAGTCAAATAATCTAGCTTTTATTCCAAAATATATTAGCATCAAGTGTGTAAATGTGTTTAATTGAATTACAAGAACTTTAATAAAATTCACTATTCAATGAGCTTCTTATCCATGAATTATGCAACGCTCTTTATCTTAATTACGAAAAAGCAATAAATTAATCCATATCAACCCCAGCATAAAGCAAAAAACAACAAAACTAGCACACAAAATAATTCTCAAAGTGTGAGGAAAAATATTTCATGAAATTTGTTTACTTTCTTCTTTGTTTTTACGCTATTGAACCAAAAAAAAAAACGTCGAAATGAAGAATAAGACGATGAGAGGATGGGAAGGACGACTGAGTGATAAACAAACACATCCCAAATGTCTCTCGATTGTTGCTCTTGTTTTTTTCTCCCTTTTTTACACATCGAATGCATCACTAAACTTTAAGATATGCCGTACAATCTATAAAGAACAAAAGAATGAAAAGAATACGGAAAAATCAGTGAAGGAAGATGGAAAATTGTGCTTTCTCTTGTTTTGAGCCGATTTGGCGAATTTAGTTGGAGAGGAAATAGTATTTATGGCTACATTCTGTCTGGGTTGAGATGGAAGTAATGTTTTGAGGATTCGTCTTAATCTGTTTTGCTGATAAGGATTTGTTGTGATGGAATTTTTAAGGTTAAAATAATTAAAATGAATTTTTGCAGAATTTAATCAATTAAATGAACTGATATTCTTTAAACTTGCTTGCTCCGGACTTATATTCAAGAATTATCTTCAACCTTATCTGAAGTATATTCCGTAAATAAGAAATTGTTCTCCAAAAGTATCAAGTGAGAGGTCCGTCAGAAAATGAAAAGTCTAATCCTAGGTTAATGCTCCTTTTTTTAAGTCAAAATTTGTATATTATCCTGCACAAATGCGCTGTCCAAATGAGTTAACATTTTCTGCTGAACTTTTTGTGATAGTACGTCACAAACATTTTCCCTTCTCATAAGAAAGATAGAGATAATGGAGATAGAAAATCGTCTGTCAGTTTTGCCTACGTTATGTAGTAGATTTTATAACATAAACTGAATATGAACGAGGAAAAAAGAAGAGAAAAAGTAAGAAAGAAATAAAGTTTCTCTGTTCTTAAAAGGAAATAATGGAAAAATATTTTACCATACAGCCTTTTGCGCGTCACAAAACGAAAGCTCTCCTTGAAAATTGTCATAAACAAGAATTTTTCGCTCTCAATTTGCGTCGGATGGAATTTAAAGTTTCTTCCCTTTTTTATATCCCCATTTTAATTTAATGCTTTGTGCCTTTTTTCTCTCTTTCTTCTTCCTTTACCCCAAAAAATGCCACAATCAAAAAAAAATCCTAGTACCAGCAAAAATTTCTCATGTCACATCTGGGGGCCATTTGCAAGTGAAAAAAGGATCACCAGTACGACTAGAGTGCTCAGCTACCGGCAATCCAATGCCAAACATCACATGGACGAGGAAAAATAATTTGCTTCCGAATGGTGAGTACGATTCTTATTTTTTTGGCAAGTAGATGTAGAAATTTCTAAGTTTTCGAAGGGTTAGACACTTCCTTAAAGGAGTTATGCTTGATTTTTGATATTCAGACTTCAAAATTGTCTAGTAGATGATTCATTTCCATCGATTAATACACAAAGGTGCATCCAAACAGAATATTACGCGAATATGGCATCAGTTGGCACAACGTCAGCCTGCTCTGCAAGACCATCAGTGCCCATGCCTGTTGAACATTATAGAAACTTTTTACTTCTCCTTGCTTTGGCTTTATCAAGATTCATTTTACTCATTCCGCATGATATACACCACCACCTCATGCCATCAGTCCTAATATCTTCATACACACCAACCACCTTTCATTCTTGCTCTTACTTACCGACCATCCTAAATGTATAAATATTTGCCTTTTTCTTTTCCTTCCTTCTTTTGTGCGGCATGATGAAAAATAAAAAGAGATTTTTTGTGGAAAAGGAAAAAAAAATAGCAAAAATAGAGATTTTTTTTTGCTGCTGACTCTCTAGTCTTATTTACTTACTGACCATGCATGAATCTTTAACACATACATATAAATAACATAATCATCGTCTGATGTATATGAACGTGAAAATGTGAGTGCTGATTGTGTCACACACTGGCCAATTTCAAAGGCGGAAATGAATGTGCTTACTGAAATTGAGTTGTCGTTTCTAAGTTCTGCCTAGTCATCAGGACTTGTTTGTGCTGTTTTTTTTTCACACTCCTGCATTCTTGTTGGACGGTGATTGAAAGAAATTTAATGGCAGTAAAATTGAATTTTTATGGATGGGATTTTTGGGATGCTTTGGTTTTTTAATTGAGGTGCTGAATGGTAGTTGGAATGAATTGTTGAATTTGGATGGCTGGTAATTGAATGGTGATTTGGGAAGTCAAGTTCATTTGTTGCTACCAAAATGGGACTCGAACCCACACATTAGATACTCAAATGTAGTCTGCTATGTTAGTTTTTACAACAATATCAAGTACCATTCCCTTCCCAAAACTCAAAAACTATTTTCACAGCCTTTTACTTACTATCGATTCCTACCAACAATTTCCCCACAATACTACAACAGTGCAACGTCCTCTGAACAGTAAATGAAGCTTTTCGAAACCGACACCTGAGAGTAAACAACTAAATCTCGAGCTTTCTTCTTTACCTCTCGTCTATAACTTTTTTTTGTCCCTTTTATCGTATTTTCACCATCCACAATAAGGTAAAGAACCGAGGAATAATGTGTTCGTGCAAAAATCTCTATAATCATACTTTTCACCAACAATACTGTAGCTCGAGTAGCTGACATCCTACGATATGAAGTGTGTAAGTGTAATATGAGAATAACAAATAGAAGAATCAGGTCAAGCGTATATTTATTATTTTGTATTTTTTTTTGCTACTATCTCATCTCGTTCTCACTTCCACTTCCAGTTCCATTCTTGCTTATTTTATAATGAAATACAACAAATTAAAAACGACTTATCTCTCACTTAAGGTTATTCTATGGATGTTTATATTTATACTTAATCTCACATGTTATGAGTTTTATATAACAATAGGATTGGGGTTTGTTAAAGGAATGTGACATGAAATGGATTACTTTCTTATGAAATTTTCCAATGAATGTTTTACAGTAAGCAACAGGAGATTATAATGGAAATGGATAGTTGCTATGTTGTTGGGATGAGAATCTTTCTGTTTTGTTATTTGATTGGATGCTTTGAACTAGAAAATATCACTTGATTTGTTTGTTTTGAGGATGAACTTATGATGCTGAATGTTATTTGTGAATGCAAATATTGTTGTCTAGACTAGATTACAGTTAGCTACAAACTTAGAGTTTTGGGTAAGAGTTGGGCTAACTTGGATGAATTCAAGCTTTCGATAGTCCCCTCCTTGGCTATGCTACTTATAAAGACTTAAAGCTTGCCTAAACCTTCAATTTTAACAAGAAAACAATATTTTTTTTAAGTATCCAAAAATTCAGGTCAGATGCTGTCTAGAGCAGAGTTGCGATCTGCTGCTTGCCTGTAATCTTTCATTACTTGTGACAGGCAAATTTTTATCAGGCAAACGCCTGACACTGCCTGTGAAAGATAGATTATTTTACCAGATTTGTCACCTGCCTGACCATCTGTCTCGCAACTCTGATCTAAGGTCACACTAGTACATAATTGAAAATTAATGTATTATAAATTGGATAAAAACCCAACTTAATTGTGTGGTTTAAATTCAAGTCGACTGAGACAACATCCATAACGAGAGAGGGTTCACCAGACCTCCCGATCTAACCTAGACCTACAGTTTTATAGCAATATTCGAACCACTCCTCTGATGACATTTCTGCTTTTTGGGCTGTGACCAAAATCCAAAATATTACCATATGATTCGAAAAAGGACAAGTGAAAATTTTTCCCATGCCAAGTCTCGAGCCCATGATCGCTGTGTCAATATTGCAAGTACACAACCATTCCACCACCGAGCCACTTCAGCTCACTTAACCATCATTTGATTAAGTAATGTTATTTATGAACTGTATTCTTTTTGTCTTGATGATATACCAAAGTGCAACATGATCTATCAAATCTGAACCTTTCAACAACCCATAAAATCAATTCATCCTCAAATCTCAAACTAAGAACCAAGAAATTTCATTAAATCAATTCCATAAAAGTTCTCTTTCTTCTCCCCACATCATACAAAGTATGTCAAGTTAAATATCATATGACACGTTTCAAGATGAAATCTGAACAATGTTTGTGGATGCATGCATCATTTTACAGCATATCTAATTTGTTTGAAACTTGAGAATGCTTGAGATGCGCTTTAAAGGTTTGTTAAGATTTTTGGGGTGTTTTTGTGGATATTTACGGAATAAATTGCTTAAGATTCTTGAATTTAAATTTTGAAATTTTCAATTTCTGAAGATTTCAACTTTATTTTAAAATTTTAATTAGATTCTAAAACTTTTCTTGAATAAGAAATAAAAAATTGTTTCTTAACTACTTTTCGAGAACTAGAAGAACCATAAAACTTTATCTACATCAATAGATCTAATTTCAAATTATTCAACACACTTCAACAAAATACCTCCAAGAGAAGACACAAGAACGAAATTAAACCAATTTAGTTGATCTTCATTATTCACAATTGCCACTTATTGTTGTTCATGAAAATAGATAAAATTGAAAAACAACTTTTTTTATTCTTGTTTGAAAAACTTTTGCTTCTGATATTCAAAATTGATAGTTTGAGATAGACACGCAGCAACGATAAAATTCGAGGAGGAGTAAAAGAGATTTTTAATTAAAAATTTATTACAAGACTGATGATGTTTCACAATATCTATCTCTTGTTCATTCATTTAACATCTGCTCAGGTTCTCAACATTGACAATGTTTTCAAAATTTATTGGTATAATATTTTCATCGTTTGGTTCTTGCTTTGATTGGAATGAGATACAATTTTAATCGGATTAGTTATTTTTTTGTGGATTATGAAGAATTTGGAACTAAGTTTGAGATTTATGTAATAAATGTAAGGTATTAAGGTATTAAGGATATAATCGATTGGATTTAGTGAAGCTGAAGTGATTTTGTGGAGCAGTTGCAATTGTTTCGAGCTCTTATAATAATTGCGAAACCAACACAGCGATCATGAGTTCGAAACTCAATCTAGGAACTTTTTCGAGTCATATGTATTCAAAACTAAGCTCAAAGCCTCCATTTGTAGACTACAGACTATAGATCTCCCTATAACTACCGTATGTGTATACTAAAGGGTAGGAATCGAACCCACGACCTCAAAAGAAGCGATCTCTGACCACTCGATCAGAAATCCCTGCCACTCGGACACCTAGGTTCTTATCTCACTTTGGCTATCTGTCATACACAAATAACCAGTTTCAACGCGAGCCCTATGCTCAGGCCTATCTACTACAGATGCTTTTCGAGTCATATCCACATAGACTCTACTTGTCGTAAAAGTAATGCTTCAGATCCAATTGTAGGTTTAGGTTGAATTTTCTTATCTCTAGTTAACTTATTGAAAGCTATAGCTAGTATAAAACCAGATTTACTGAAACCTGACATGCTGATTTCAATAAGTAAGCACCAATTCCATCTATATTCCGTATTAGATACCAACATATCACTCTACATCTGTAGAGCACCTGACAATACTCAAAATTCAACACCAAAACTCTAATCATCTTCATCCAAAAGAGTAACCAAAGATCTATAGCAACCTATTATTGCCAACCCTTAGTAGATGAATAATATGATAAAGATAAAAGACACAAGCTAGTTAATCGTTAGATGTCGAATTTAATCATCAAAAAAAATATCAATTTATTTACCTGTTTCATCAATTTTGACGATAAATAAATTGAAATTTATTGGTGTAGACAGAAACAAAAAAAAAATAAACATCCACTTTGACGTCAAAAAAAATGTCATTGACAGATACAAAATATAGCATCTATTGCCTCTCGTTGCCTTGGTAAAAAATAATTTATAATTAGGTACTTTTATTCATTCGAACACAATTAAAATTTAATTAAACATGTTTTCGAATTGTGAGGTTCTATCTCAACGTGAAGCTTGACGCGTTTTTAATTAGTTTCACATTCCGCAAATGAACATGTTGAATACAGAAACTTTTTTATTTCGTTTTTTTGTGCTTACTCTATGTATGTACAAAATAATTTTCCATAAAATTATATTTTCGTGTGTTTTTTGGTAGAGAGAATAGGTTGGTTTAGTAAGGAGTTTGGCTGGATGTCTCTCTGGCTGTCAGTCAATCAGCTAGTCATTATTTATTGGTTTCTCACTTTGATGATGGATTCAGGCTCTTTACATGGGGGGTGCCTCGACTGTTCTTTTGATAATCATGATTTTTTTTTCAAAAAAAAATTCAATATTAAGTGCAGGGTCTGTACTGGAGCTACCTGATGTACTGATGTGCTCTTAAAAATACCTTACATTGTGCTGTATGATGAATTTTGACTATAGCTATAGTAAAGTACTGTGGCTAGCCCTAGAGATTGGTTTCCTGGTTTGCACCCTCGTGAATCTATCTTAGCTAAGTGTAAGTAGGGTTCTTAAGTTTCTCATGTCCCCTAATCTCCCACAAATACGCCATAGATCCACAAACCTACATTCTTCATTACTTATTATAATATTCGAGTGAAAAAAGCATTATTTTGTGTTCTCGATGGCATTTGTGTTGCTTATTATTTATGTGGATGCTGTGTATTCATTTTTCGCTCATGTTCATCATTTTGTTTATGACACATCCATACAAATTTTATCAACACACAAAGAATGATGAAAAAATATTTGTGTTTTTTTTTTCTATAGCAAAGTAATTTTGATTACACAACACAATTTCAATTAAACTCCTGTAGTTTCTATGTGAATAATGTAAAAGAATAAATTTTCAATCTGATTGTAAATGCGACATAACATTATGGTAACAAGCTTTTTTGAGGATGTAGCTTTAGATTGTTCATTTTGCTTGTTCATCGAACTGTGGATTTATTGAAAACGATTCGGTTGCTTATCTTTGGTACATGATTATGTCGAATTATTGTTTGCTGTGTATCCTGTTTTAATGTATTGTGTATGATTCGATTGAGTTGATTGAAATTTGATGGAGTTGACAAAGATGAAGTAAGGAGGATGAATGAGGATCTGATTCTACTTATTATTGATCAGATTTGATCAGTTTTGTATTCTTTGGTCTGGCGAGAGATCATCTACGGTTTATTAAACATTTAATCAATTTAAATGCAATTTTTAAAAATGGTAGGATTTGAACCGAAGACTTTTGAGATCCTAACACCAGATTTAACCCAAGGTTCTATCGAATCAAACCACAGATGCACTTAAACTCTTACAATCTCACCAGCTAAAGACATTATTGATAAAAATTAGGTTCCTTATTTTAAATAAGGTTACAATTCTTATTAGGCGAGGTTAAATGCTGTCAGAGTTAGATTCTTGATAAATTGTGAGACTTTAAAGCAGTATTGTCTAAACTGTGTGCCGCGGTACACTGGTATACCGTACAATTTTTTTTGCAAATGACGCGAGCCACATGCCTTGTTCGGTTTTGATAATGGCATACCCATAAGGTGACTCAAAAAAGTTTGGACCACACTGCTTTAAAGTTCTCAAAGCTTTCAATTAACTTTGATTCATAGCTTCTGTAGTTCTAAAATTTGTCAAATCAATAAAATCCAAAAATGCTTTTCGTACCTAACACACCCACGCATCAAATTTTCTGCTTATTCGTTCCATCCTACCGAATTTCTTTTGTCACAAATAAAAAAAACTTTTATTTGCTTTTCTGGTTGATTTTTTTTTTCTCTCTCTAAACACGGCGTATCCATGTGAGACAAATCTTATTATTGAAATGTTCACAAAAGTGTATTTTCAGATGAATTACACGTGTCGACTTCACATTGTATGTTTTATTTTTTTCTTCTGTATATCTGCAGTGCTTAAACAAAATTGCGTGTGTTTCCTCTCGTTTTTCCTTTGTGAGTACGATAAAATTACAATTGAAGGCATCGGATGAAGAATAAGAAAATTATTTTGGCAAAAAGTTAAAGTCTTAAAAAAGTAACATGTTGTAGGGACTTTGTGGCATAGCTAGTAAGGAACTAGGTTCTCACAACTCTAACCTACTCAAGCAAAAGCAGTAATAGAAAATTAAAGCTGTTTCTATAATTATTAAAAGACATATGATGAGTATTGATTATTCTTGTTGAAGGATTCATGAATTTCATTGGTATTCCATGCAATTAGGCAGTAATGGACAACCTGTGTGCCGTGAAACATTTTTGAAATTCCTCAAATTATATGCTGTGTGCGGTTTTGGTCATGGCTTACCACCAAGTGTGTCATGGTACAAAAAAGGTTGGACACCACTGCATTAAGGCATTAAAAAGATTTCATTTCTACAGCTTTAATCCATGAACATGAGTAAAAGGAAAGGCTTTTTGTTTATACAGCAAAATTGAATAAGCTTTAGATGAATAGGATTAAAACCAATTTAATTCTGTGAATGTGAATTTATGAAGGATGCCAGCTTAGGAGTTGTCTTTCGTCTTTAATGTTGATTTGGAAAGATTTTCAGGAATTGTCATTTGATGCTTTAAATCTCTAAAATCCCATAAAACACGACTATCAAAAATCAAGCATGATTCTATTCAATTTTAAAGCTTTAATTTATAAAACTAATATTTTCTTTTATCTTTCATTACAGGTGAGGAGAAATTCGTATCACCGAGCTATGTGATTGAAAACATGGATCGTCACAAAGGAGGCACATATATTTGCACAGCAAACAACGGAGTTGGTCAAACAGCTTCAAGTCAAATTTCATTGCATGTACTATGTAAGTAAATTGTCTTAACTTCATGTGAATGTAAACAGAAAGGATTTTCTGTTCATTCTACGTGATTTGATTTGTAAAGGTATTTTTGAAGCTATTTTGAGTGCGATTTTCTCATAGAGGAAATTGACGTAAGAGTGAAATAGAGGGATTTGACAAAGTTGGACAATCTATGCTTTAGAGCAGTGTTTCTCAAAGTATGTGCCAAGGCTCACCGCAAGAACATTCAGGTTTGCCATGAAAATTTTATGTTAAAGAAAGTGCCGTGGAGCAAAAAAGTTTGAGAAGCACTGCTTTAGAAATGGACGAGAATCAAATATTTTCAATTTTTTCCCAACATTTCCAACATAAACAAAAATTATTTCATACACTCCCAAGGTCATCAATCACACATACCTTTCAATAATCCAACCTAAAATCCATTCAATCAATTCCTCAATCGTAAAAAAGTGCGTTATCCATAATTCGATTCCGATTACATTTCTCGAATTTATTTGAAATATTTATGTATGATGTGAAAGGAAGTGAAAAACAAATGCTGTTTACATCCGATAAGGTGCCGAACGGAAAATATTTTTTTTCTCTCACTCTCATGCTTCTTCTTACGCAAATCGCACATGAATACGTCTGAATATATGTTGGAAACAAAATCTTATCAAAAAAAGGAGCTTTCATGTTGTCATAAATTTGATTATGATGTATCATAAGGAAGAAGAAGAAGTAACAGATGAAGGAAATGAAGAAGAACTTTTTTTCTCAAGTCGGAGCTCTTACTGACTATATAATGTGTGTATATACATCACATTGTAAATACCAAATGAAGAATGACACATTTTTTACATGAAAGCATGCTTTCTCATAATGTCATTCCTTTTCTTGTTCCTTATACAAGTTGTTTCACTTTTTAGACACTGTGAAGTTGACTTTTATGCTACTTCCGTGATGAAGTGGACCTTTTTGATTGTATTATGGAATAATAAGAGAAAATAAGATGGATTGAAGGAGATTTTTGATTGGAAGTTTAAGTTTTTAACCAGATTTTGAGAATATATGGCATTTGAGGACCTAGACTTAGTCTCAGCTGGTTGTTTTTAAAAAGAATTCTAAATAAATGGTCCTAGATGGACCAGATTGCTACTAAATTTTTACTAGGTTGCTCCTAGGTTTGTACTAGGTTTCTACTAGATTGCTACTAGGTTACTACTAGGTTTCTACTAGTAGAAACTCTAACAGTAAAATTTGCAGGTTTTGTAAGGTAAATGAGGAAACAATCACTCATATTCTTTGTAAATGCAGAGCATTACGAGTACAACGTGTCAAGCATTTTGATGAGGACTACTTGAATGATGAGGATATAAATAAGCAGCATTATCAGGACATTATTGGCTTCATTAAGGACATCGGAATTCTAACATAGGGGACTTGGGATGGTACAACAGATCATCGATCGCAGTGCCGCTTTTGCTATTAGCAAAACCCTACATTACATTCTATTCTATTCTACTAGATTGCTACTAGGTTTGTACTAGGTTGCTATTGGGTTTCTACTAGGTTGCTACTAGGTTGCTACTAGGTTTCTACTAGATTGCTATTGGATTCTAGTAGGTTGCTACTAGGTTTCTACTAGGTTTCTACTAGATTGCTACTAGGTTGCTCCTAGATTTCTACTAGGATGCTACTAGATTTTTACTAGGCTGCTACTAGGTTTGTACTAGGTTGCTACTAGATTGCTACTAGGTCAGTACTAGGTTTCTACTAGATTGCTACTAGATTTTTACCAGATTGCTACTAGGTTTCCACTAGGTTGCTACTAGGTTGCTACTAGGTTTCTACTAAGATGCTACTAGGTTGCTACTAAAGCCACATTGTTTTTTTAAAATCAGCCACGAAGTTTACATTCCGTTCTATCCACAAAAATCTTCATAACATTACTTTTCTTCTACTCCAAACATTTTTGGTGCTTACTAAAAGTTATTTAACATTCTTGTGATACATTTTGATATGAATAAAATGTATATGAATATCCTTACAACTTTACATCAACAATGGTTCCATAGTAGCACTGACAACATTCATACCGTACTCAAGAAAAAAAACCTTCTACACAAAAATAAAAGAAACAAAAGTAAATAAAAAATCTTAGTGAGCCAAAAAGCATTATATCCTGAAAATGACATTAACAGAGTAACAAAAGAGACTGAGAATTTTATTCACTCATTCATATATGACAGGCAAATTGCTTTCAGTTAAATGTCTCATTTTCTGGTGTCTCTTTCTCTCCTTTCATATGTGCTTTATACATTTGTGCCATGTGTCTTGCTGTGTAGTTTATTTTTTCATTAAATAATAAAAATGAAAAACAGAAAAAAGAGAAAATTACATTTAATGTATTCACACTTGATTCCATTTCTTTGTCAACGCTTACGACGCTTCTAGTCAACAATAAATGAGGAGAAAAAAGAAATTAATTTTGAGGATAAGTTTGGGAATGGTTCGTGAATTAAGACGCATTTTTGACTAGGAAATGCTTTTTAATTAACAGCAAGGATTAAGTATAAAGCTGTAGCACTTGATGCTGATCAAATTAGATTATATTAGGTCAGTTTTAGTCAAGTCCTTGTAGGCTACAATTATTTATGACCATCATACTCTTTATCTTGATTCAAGCTTTGATACACAATTTCAATAGGATTCAAACCACCTCAAATGGCTCAAATCGGGTGATCGATCAGAAATCCGGCATCAAGCCGATGTGACTCTGGCATGGTGTTGGATTTAAATGCCAGAGTCATGCTAGCTTGGTGCCGGATTTCTATTTGATTAACCGACTTGTTATTTTTGGAAACGTCTTCAACTACATTACTATATAAATCTCCCGAAAAAAAGCTTTTATCCACACTGAACTACTACTGAACTTTTGAGTCTCGAACCTATGATTGCAAAGTCAATATTGCAATTATTCTGGTAAATTAGCTTTAGACTAATGCGCCAATAAGTCATTTTTGCTTTTAAACTTACAAAAATCACTTTTAAACATTCAGATGACTTACGAAATTCTCAAATTTGTCATTTATTTCCTCATTCTCACCAAAGCAAAATCCCAAGGCGTGGAAACTATCCCAAATATCCCATTTATCCCATATATCCCAAATATATTCAAAATAATCCCTGAGCCTGTATGCATTAGAATTGAGATATCCCATCATATCCTGAAATTACATGTCTAATACACTAAGAATACGTTGGGATATCTTTATCATCGTGCATACATGCTCAGGAATTTTTTGTATATTTTTGGGATATGTGGGATAAATGCGATATTTGAGATAGTTTCCACGCCTTGCAGAAGCCAGACAAACAGCAAACCGAGTCTCAAAAGCACAATTCAACTCAGAATTCGTGTTAATAAAAATTTTTATTATTTTTCTCATGACACAAAAAAAGCGGAGAAGAAAGAAGAAAAGAAAGTAAATCATAATTAATTATGCTTCAAAATGTTGACACATGGAGCTCCCTAGGATATTAGCATAATTGCTTTCTCATCTCAACAACTCCACCTACCATCTCCACCTCTTCTTATTCATTTTTATTACATTCATTTTCCACTTTATTCATGTAATATACATAAAGTTGTCCATTTACACTTCCGAATTGAGGGGTATGGCATCTAGTGAATGGCATGAATAGAATATGCTGAAGGTACGATGAAAACACTTTATTTTCCATTCATACGCATATTAAGATGTAAAACACACACACACACACACACAAAAACCTTTTCATTTTCTTATTTCTAATGATGTTGATGATGACGATAAGAACGTGTGAATAGGTGTTGGTAGGATGGTGGAGGGTGAGATAAGGACAGACGAACCGCAAAAGAATTAATTTTCATTCCTTCTTAATTTTTTTTCCGTACGTGTGACTCTAAACGATTTATTGAAACGCACTTTAACCACAAAATTTAATGATCCATAAAATTCAATGTGGATGTTGGGAAAAGGACTCTCAATTCATATTAAAGAGGGAAAAAAGGGGGATTTCTGTGGTGACACAAAAAATGGAGATTTTAATTAAATTTATCGAGTTTTTTTTTGTTTGGGGAAATGAATTTTTTTAAGAGGCTTAAAGTTGGAATATGTTTTAGATGTGGACATATTGTAGATTACATATTGAATTTCTGGTAGATTTAACTGTGGTTGACTTGCATTTTTTCATCAATACCTAAACATCAATGGAAGTCTTACTAGATTAACCCAGAAGTTAAACATAAAAACACAGAATGTCAAAGTTCGCACCCTTTCCATGCATCCCAACACAGCCTCCAGCGACTCTACTAATAGACACTCAAAAATCCCTTTACATTAATTCCAAAACGTAATTCCCATTCATTTAACAAACGCCTAAAAATTAATATTCATCCACAGATCCACCTGAAATAACATTAGAGCAAGCAACTATATATTCAGGCGAGGGACAGACAGCAGAATTAAGTTGTATAATTCATGGCGAAACAACACCACAAGTGAGTACATCCTACATACATGACATTCTCATTTGCGACTGCAGAATTGATTTATAATATTTTTGAACTCTTTCCTTTTCCTTTCTCATTTCCAACATCAATCACGAAATGGAAATATCAACAATAAAGGTTTCATGGCTTCGAGATACAGTTCCAATTGACCCGCACAATGAGCATTTCTCGATGGATAATCGCGGTACACGCTATACACTAACAGTACGTCGAGTTAGATCACAGGATTTTGGAAATTATTCGTGCGTTGCGGATAATCAATTAGGAAAAAATAAAAAGAATATTCGATTATCGGGAGAACCACGAGCACCAGTTATACGCTCAAATGCACAGAGTCAGTGGAGAGATAAATATAATATATCGTGGACGGTTGATTCTTATGCTCCGATCGAGGAATACAAATTGTATTACAAATTGCTGAGCAACAATCCACCAATTGGATATGGCAACAATCATCTCGACGCACATCAGAATTCGGACTCATATCCCAATAATGCCAATTATGTTCGTTAAATAGAATAAATATACAGTCATGCATTCATTGAGCATCTTTTTAGAGTGGGGATGGGAATGTTGTAAGGTTTTTGTCGGTCTGTCATAATGGTTTGATCAAGGGGGGTAACAACTTGTCTATCCTCCTTGATTAGTGATTTGAGGCTACTCGAGGAAGGGTGAGGGGCCTTTTCCATAACTGCAACTAAGCTGCAGCTCCAGGGGGCAAACAAAATAATAGGAAATATCTTTGTTTCTTATGAAAACTGTTCCTCATCAGGTTGTATTCCCCCTGTCCAATCTTAATCTACTCTGAAAATTCAGTAGTCAGCCTACAGTCACTCAGTCCACCAACTCCTTAAACACATCAACATACCCAAAAATAAATCAGATAAAATATGCTCAATCAATGCACAACCTTCCTCCACTGATTATGTCGATAACAATAATGAATATGCTCTTTTCTATTTTTCTATTCTCATCCTTAAACCTTTTACTAACAGATGGATAATACTAATATTCACAATCCATATGATTCATTCTCATCATATTCAAGCTTTTATAAACGAGCACACAATACAGATTGGACGGATATTGTTCTACAGCCGTATCCATATACAACTCATTATACGCAAGGAATGAGCTTCATTATACGTGAATTGTTGCCTGATCAGCAGTATGAGGCGAAAGTCATTGCTAGGTTACTGTCTATTTTAATTAACATTTGCTTTGCCTTGTTTTTTTCGTTTTGTTATTCTCATAAAAGGCTGTTCTTTTTTTGTTTGTTTCTTATTTGCTTTCTTATTGTGCGTAGGTATTGCTGGTGCTTCCATTTTTGAAAATTCCTCAATGGATATTGAATAGCTAGTATTTAATGCAAATATTAGATAAGATTGAGTAGTTCAATAGTTTTAAAATTGTTTGAAGACTCAAGTTCAATTCCTATGACTTAAAAGCTTGATACAAAATTAATTTGAACTTATCCACAAATAAGAACCTCAATAATATCCACATTACCCAAAGAACACTCAATTTCTTAAGCCTCAATCAGAATCATCTGAAATTGTTTCCAAGAAAGCCTTAATTTCCTTCCAATCGTTAATAAACGAGTTAAAGATTTCCTCCCAAGCACACAATAAGTCATAAAAATTGAATTTCCGACTGGGAAGGTCAGAAGACTTAATGCTTAATCCATTTTTCATATATTTTCTTCTTCCACTTACATCCTTTTCCCATCTCCTCATCAATTCATCCATTTTAATTTCATTTCTGTTGTACAACAGCAAATTGATAAAGAATCATCATTTTTTTGTTCTATTTGCTCAACTAATAATAACTTGATTAATGACTTCCAATTTTTTCCGTTCATCTATTTTTTCATACCATCGCCGAAACGAAACTTTTATTTGTGCGCCAAACAAAAATCTTAACGATAAATTGTAATAATATCAATATCAATAATAATAATGAATGTATATGCGAATATACATAACAGAAATCGATACGGATGGAGTGAGTTTTCAGAACGATTTGTTTTCAACACGGCACTCATAGGTGAGTAAATTGTTTTTTTTTTCTGCTGTTTTTTTCCTCCCTGCTCAACAATTTCCTTCTTTTTCACTTTTCTATCGCTCTTGTTGATTGCTTGTCGTCATGTTGCTGTCAACGGAAGAGTGAAAAAAGAGAGAATCGAAGAATATGAAGGAAGTAGACGGAATATAAGTAAAAGAGTCATTAAATGCTTGACATTTTGAGATTTAATGCACAATGCATGTGCTGCATCTACTAATGAGATGATTCTATTCTTGCTTTATCTAATGAAGTTCTACTTTTGAATCATATTTAGTAAATTTAAAGCTTCTGATCCAAATTTTAAGGTCAAAACAATTCTTAACTAGTTTTAACCTGGTCAATGAGGCTTTAACTAGTGAACCCTAATCTGAACCTGGTCAATGAGGCCTTAACAAGTCAATCCCTGTTCTAATCCTGGTGAACACTAATCAAAACTAGTCTAAACAGGTCTAAACTAGTCAATGGAAGTCTAAACTAGTCTAAACCAGTCTAAACTAGTCTAAAATAGTCTAAACTAGTCAATACTAGTCTTTACTTGGTCAAGACTAATCAAAACTAATCTAAACAGATCTAAACTAGTCAATACTAGTCTAAACTAGTCAATACTAGTCAATACTAGTCTAAAATAGTCTAAACTAGTCAATTCTATTTTAAAATAGTCAAAACTAGTGTAATCTTGTCAAAACCAGTCTAAACTAGTCAATACTGGTCCTAATCTGGTCAAGACTAGTCAAAGCTAGTCTAAACTAGTCAATTCTATTTTAAAATAGTCAAAACTAGTGTAATCTTGTCAAAACCAGTCTAAACTAGTCAATACTGGTCTTAATCTGGTCAAGACTAGTCAAACCTAGTCTAAACTAGTCAATTCTATTTTAAAATAGTCAAAACTAGTGTAATCTTGTCAAAACCAGTCTAAACTAGTCAATACTGGTCTTAATCTGGTCAAGACTAGTCAAAGCTAGTCTAAACTAGTCAATTCTATTTTAAAATAGTCAAAACTAGTGTAATCTTGTCAAAACCAGTCTAAACTAGTCAATACTGGTCCTAATCTGGTCAAGACTAGTCAAAGCTAGTCTAAACTAGTCAATTCTATTTTAAACTAGTCAAAACTAGTGTAATCTTGTCAAAACTAGTCTAAACTAGTCAATACTGGTCCTAATCTGGTCAAGACTAGTCAAAGCTAGTCTAAACTAGTCAATTCTATTTTAAAATAGTCAAAACTAGTGTAATCTTGTCAAAACCAGTCTAAACTAGTCAATACTGGTCTTAATCTGGTCAAGACTAGTCAAACCTAGTCTAAACTAGTCAATTCTATTTTAAAATAGTCAAAACTAGTGTAATCTTGTCAAAACCAGTCTAAACTAGTCAATACTGGTCCTAATCTTGTCAAAACTAGTCTAAACTAGTCAATACTTTTTTAAAATACTTAATCCTAATCAAAACTAGTCAATACTTGTCAATAAAAGTCCAAATTAGTATTATAGGTCAAGACCATATGTTCTAAATCACACAAAAATGCAATGGTTCAGCAGATCTATTAAAAAATCAGACCTCACTTGAAAACAACTGAAAACCTTGAATATGCGAGTGACAAACCGACAAATCAAGCTCTCCCAAAACAGTTTATCTTCCACCAAAACTGCTTGATAAAGAAAAAAATTCTCATTTAAATTAATTAACATCTCTACTAAATGAAAACGAGAGTTTTCCACTCACATGTCATGTCTGCGATTTTAATGTAATGAAAATTTAATTTTTTGCTTGATTTTACTTTTCAAGAACATGAAGTTTTTACCCTCGAACTTTTCATTTACTTAAAAAATTACTTTTATAGTGTAAAAAAAATATTTTTTTTTTCTTCCTAGGAGGAAATTTGCAAATTCAATTTTCAGTCTCGTTCGTCGTCTATCCGCTCCAGCTATCTACAGAGAATAACATACATTTTTGTGAGCATGTTACAATAGAGTGTGTAAATTCATAGAGTAAATTTAGCCTCGAGGGTAAATGGGAAATTTTTCAATTATCTTTTCTAATCAATTACTGGTATTTACGAGGTGAACATGCTGCTTTAGATGCTCAAAATTGTTAGTGTTTAGTGGGGAAATTTTACGAAAACAATTATGGCTTGAAGGTCATTTTGATGGGTTGTTTTTTGGAATTTTAAATTGAAAGTTTTGGGCTATTTTGTTGTTGTTTGGTTCCATTAAGTGATTATTCTGAAGAAGAGAAGCTTTAATGGAGCATTGGTTGAGATACTGGCTTTCAAGGCTTTCAGGTTTGAACATAAGGACTCTTGACAGTAGGAACTACTCTATAGATGTCATTAGTGCTCAAGAATGCTTTACTTTGGTAGCTATTGACTGAAATTATGGTTCTCATCTTGTTGTATCCCCCCTTTAGATGTAAGTTCGGCTCTTGGATCGTACCTTGCTTTAGATTCTCCTCAATATGTAAAAACTTAAAGCTCAGATGCTTATGCATCTATCACTAAATTCTCAACAAGAAAAGCAGCACATGCAGCTTAAACTTTAGCATCTCATTAACATTGTCTTAGTATTTAAACTTTAATACTATTGAAATTTTCATCAATTCTTAATTCATTCCATTGAATCAATAATTATAAAGTATATTCTTCACAGCAATTAGTATCAAAAGAAGCCTTACCATTCAAATTAACCAAGTAAATTTCGAAAGGATTAAAGCAATTACGCAACACAAAATTATTAATTTTTAAAATAAGAAAATTGCTTCAAGCAAAATCTGCCCACCAATGCCGTCGTTCCGATTCTCTTTCTAAAATGATCATTGCTGTGTAGGATGAAACACACAACAAAGAAGGTTAATGAAACCGAAATGAGATAAATTATGAATAATTAGTTTGAATAAAAATTATGCAAATGTCGGTTGAATTAGTAAGAAAATTTCTCTTTTGTAGCTTAATTTTTTTGTGGGAAAGAGACTTGATAATTTGTATCATAATGACTAAATTATTCTAAACAGACATAAATGATGAAGATTTCTGTCATGAAAGCTTTGTGGCTTAAATTAGTTTGAAATGGCGTGACAATTTTAAGATTTTGGGCTTTCTCTTTTGAATTTTATAATTGTTGGAGACGCTCATTAGAATCTTAGCAAGCTACCAAGTCATTATTCTTAGGTTTGCTGGAAACTCTTTTTAATGCACCAACGGGGAGAGGATTTTGACACCAAACTTTAACCTGACTTTGCTCTTATGATTGTATAACAAGGTTTATTTAAAAAAAACCCTCGAATTAATATGAACCCCCCCCCCCCCCAACTTGCCTCAAATCAATAGAACTTTCTCAGTTCACCACGGGTCTTTTTGAAAAACAATCCCAAACCAGATTCATGTCAAAACTCCTCAATCGAAAAAATTCTAGCTATTCTCTAGGCTCCTAGCTAGGCCTAGGAGGAGCTATAAATTTCCACAGCATGTATTTTTGATGCCAGTTTCAAGCAAAAGTCACTTTCAAAATTCAAAATCATGCATATGAGCTTCAATTGTTGCCAATCTATCAATGATCTTCATCCAATAATGCAAAGAAGATGCTGAAGGATGCACAAATCACTAAGAAATCAGTAAACATTCTCAGTATAGATCTCAACAATACAAAATCTAACAGAATCTCCATAATTACCAAGTCTCTGAAAAAAGGAGAGACGATGAGATGCTAGAAAAAGCTATAAATATTTCCATCCTTCGGTTCAGCATCCAATTAAAAAAAATATTGCTTGCAATAATTGAATGAAAAAAAAGGCAAGAGCAGAACAGAAGAGAATGTAGAAAAAAAAATTTAATCACAATCTCTTAATACCTAATTTTTTTTTGTGTGTGTATATCTGCATAAAACCTGCAAGAGCTTAATGCTCAGATGAATCTTTAAGCTATCTCATATACAAATTAAATTATGAATCACGAAGATTGTGAAGTCAGGGGAAGGTTATGAACGAGAACGAGCATACAAAAAAATAATAATTTTAATGAAAATTGTTGGATGATTTTTCATTAGCACTCCTATCGTTTTATAAATTAATTAAAACTTTTTATTCCTTGCCTTATTCCTGTTCGTACTCATAACGAGCATATTTTTATTTTAATTTTTTGTGCAACGCTTTTTTGTGTCAAAAAGCGATTTTTTTCTGCTGACATTTTCATTTCATGTTGATGACTTAACGGGGTGACAGGTGGTCAACCAACTGACACTTTGCATATCATGCTGATTTTTTTATTCATTTTGTTGAATGTTTTTTGGACGTTTGTGAATTTTTGTGACAGTTGCTGGTTTGGGAAAGTTGAGAATTAGAATTAAGTTGGATTGTTTTATGTTGAATTTGGTAAATTGGGATCAACCTGCAAAGGATGTCCAGTACACTTACTTACTTTGATGGTTTTGTAGATCTCCCGATAACTGTTGTATGTGTATACAAATGTAAAACAAGTCGGGTTTGATGGGAATCTAACACGTGGCCTCAATCTCGATCAGAGATCCTTGCCACTCGGTCACCGAGGTACTTATCTCACTTCGGTTGTCCATCATTCACATACAACCAGTTTTACTGCGAGCCCTATGTTTAGGTTTATCTACTACAGACATGCTATTCGAGCCATATCTACAGCTTTACAGATCAATTGTGAATTACAGTCTACCTTAGATGACTCGTAAAGCTGACAATATCGCTGGTCGATTGAGCTTGTTTAAAGTACAGTTTTTAATTAAATTTGATTGAGATTCGAACTCAAGAACCTTAAAAACATGAAACTAAGCACTTTGTTCATCCTATTGCAGCTATTTTACTTATAAACAACATTTCTGCTTAAACACCATCGTAATATTATTAATGATAATTAAAAACCTACACCCAACATCTCAATTGCCTCTAATTAACAACGCATCAATGACTTTTTTACTTACTATACGTCTTCATTTTCCTTCTATCCATTCAACAATTTATTGAATTTTCCAGCTTCTATTTTCCCCATTTTCTATCATTTTAAAAAAATAACAATTTTTCCTTCTTTTTCTTTCAATTCATTCACAGATACGGAGGCGAGAGATATGGAAGTGAAGCATTACACCAGTGCGACTTCATCTATTTTTACATCTTCAAACGAATTGAAATTTCTGCTTAATTTAAAGTTTAGTTTGTTTGCTCTTCATTATACTAGACTTAATTTATGTTAAAAGATGGAGAGGGTGGGGAATGAAAAACTTTATCCATAAACTACGAGAAGCTGCTATCCTACTCGCTGTGAATATGTACATGTTAGTTTTCTACGGATATGAAGGTGGAAATAAAGCGCAACAATTTCATTTTCTCGTCTCTGCTCTTTTTTTATCTCGTACCCTCGTGTGTTTTAATCAACAGAAACAGCAAAACTTAAGACCGGGCAATATATAAAGGACATTAGGGGTTAAAGTTCATTATAGCATCATTAATAGCTGAGGGGAAAAATTTAATTTTACATCAAAAAGGTCATCAAAACAATCAATTTTCACCCTCTGGAATTCTTGAAATAACTAAAACCCAATCAGCATGACAACTTCCATCGCATCTCAATATTTCAATTTAATAGCAGATCCATTGTGCTGCTCGGTGATGAACTCTCCTTTTTTTGTGTGAAAATTAAACAATTTAAAGTTTAACGGAGGTGCTTGCTGGCAAACAAATTTACATTTTTTTTTACTTTAGTCTATGAAATGAGCAAATAGAATGAGCTCATTTGTGATTGTAAAGCGACGAAGCATAAACATTTGTTGAATTTTAAGACCCTTGGAGGTATGTTGGATGTGTTTATGACTGAGAAAGGAGGTGATTTTTAAATGGTTTTGTAAAGTATGACTGGTAGCCAGAATAACACTAGCACCTTGCGATGGTCAATTAGCGATTAAAATGATCAAATCTTTGAAACCAAGTTCGAATCTCACATAATATAAATGATTCAACTGCCTTAAGATGAGCAGTTGTCTGATTCAGACTATAGCAACTAACTGAGCTTAGTGTGTCATCTTTCCGAATATTCTGATCAAAAACTCTTTTTCTCATCATGTTGTTATCCCCCTGGATTCAACAAAAAAATCCTCAAAGTATAAATCTCCTACAAGGAATGTAAAATAAACGAGAACTAATTAACAGAAAATGAGAATAATAAAAGTTGTTCAGACTCAACATCAAAATTAAACAAATAATAAATCCACCATCCTTAAAACTTTAATTCACAGCAACTGGGATAGACAGCAACTCCCACAACTGTAGAAAAAATAAATCGAAAAAAAAAAAATATTTTGTAAAAATGAATAAAAAGAAAAAGAAACTTTTTGAAATATCACAGCAAAGAGATGATTAATCCTTTAAAATTGCCGTCTATTTGAGGTAACAGAAAAAGTTTTACATGGATGTTGTTATATAAAAAAATTAAATAAAATTGATGAGTTTTTTGTTTGTTATGTGAGGACTTATAGTTTGACAGGGGTGGTGATTTTGGTGATTTAAGGTTTGAAAAATTGATGATTTTTGGTTAAAATTTGATTTTTGTAGACATCATTGTAATAGCAGACATAAGGAAGCTTCATAGTTGTAGCATGATACTGATAAGGTATTAGTCAACGATGAGGGTGCCGCATGACTGCTATTAGCTTGATGTGTTGCTCTTAAGATGGAGCTAATAAATTCAAATTTCATCATAAATTGTGAAATATATTTTCAAGCTCAAATCCCATCCAGCACCTCTGCCAAATAACTTAACCTTACAAAATATTTTGTACAGAAACATTTCTCCCTAAAATAATGATAGCAAAAAATTTTTTACTTTAATTAATTCTGTGTAAATAATTAAAAATTGAGTTTTAAAAGAGCTCTTAAATATTCCTCCTACAGTACTTGCATCCCAGTTTGTTCATTAATTGAAAGTTGACATGACAACAAACTTTAATGGATGAAATTATTTTTATTTATTTAAAAGAGTTAGAGCTTGTGCATGAAAGGGGTCCTTGTTGGATGTTGTGAAATTTTATTGAATATTTTTTTATTCAACAGCGTCAGAAGCTTCCTAGTCATGAGCTTTTCAAGGTCTCAGATCAAATAAAGTTCAAGACACCCCCTAGACCATTTTTGGGATCGAATTAGAACTTCTAGATCACCAAAACTTTCTTTATCAACTCTGTCTGCTTCCTACAATAAAACAAGAAGCATCCAAACAAATGTTACAGCATGTTTGACAAACATTAAGCTAACTTCCTTCAAGCAAACAAGAAATTATGAAGTTTATGCTCAAAATTCTTTAAAATAATTTTTCTTTTGAGTTAACAAAGAATAACAAAAACTTCAAAGTGAGTTCAGCAAGATTATCAGTTAAAAGCTGAGATGGTTCTTAAATTAATTATAAGAACAAAAATTTTTCCATAAAATTTAATTAAGTTATAAAAAAAATTATGAGCAACGACGGAACGAAAAACTTGTGATGGAAAATTAACTGGATTATTTCCTTTAATCAGGATTGAATTAATTTAATTTAATCTTGTCTTTGAGGAGGAATTTTTTTTTTATTTTATTATTTAGTGGCGAGTTATGCTTGAGTTGGTAAGTGGGTTGATACAGGAGGAAAGCTATGAATTATCTCATTTAGAGCACAGTCGCTAAGATTTCAAATTTTAACATGATACTCCCCCGCCTGCCCATTTTATCAAGCTGCTGAACATATGCAAAGTCAAAATCAGGCTGTCTTCTCTACAACTTCAAAATATTAAGGATTCTCCTTTTGAAACACCTTTAATCTTAAAATACTATGCTAAATGAAACCTAAATATTCAGAAATTTCACAACAACTGTCAATTTAGTCTAGACATTTTCAAACACATGTCAAAAAGTCCTTTATTTATAAAATCATTGGCAAAAGGAAATTGAAAATCAAGAAAATCAAAAATTCTCTGTAAAGTTGTGCAAAAAGCTTCAAAGCTATAAATTTCATTGAAATATGTAAAGCAGATATAAGACTTTTGACTTCTTTCATAAATTGCCAAAATTACAAAGAAAATTGATTCTTTGGAAAACTTCCTCTGCAGCAAGTAATAGCAAAATGTGAACTCAATTATAATGTTTTATTAAATTTGAAATTTTTCGTCACACTTACTCAAGTTTAGGGATGTGAATGAAACATTATTGAGTAAATTGAATTTATATGTAAAGTCTGAATGAAAATTTGATTTAAGGTTTATTATTATTATTTGGAGTTATTAACAACTCCAAAGAAACGTCAATGCTGAAGGAGTAGACAGATCAAGGTAAAAGGGGGGGGGGGGGGAAGGTTAGCAAAATGTCTTTAATTTTCTAAAGTTCTTTGTAGAAATCGAAGTTTCCATACAAAAAAAACAATGAGTTGACTTGAAGTTGCCTCAAGTCAAGTTGATTTGGAGTTGACTACGAAAAAATTAAGGCGACTCGAGTTGACTTCGAGCTCTGGTTCTTGCCTAAAAAAATCACGAAACAAATCTCGATTTATTTCTGCTTTTTTTTGACACCCCCCCCCCCCCCCCCAATAAAAAGTATTCCCCAATAAAATTTCCCAAACCCCCTTTCATGCACACAAACACAATAAAACAAAAAAAATAAAATCATTCTCAGTGTATTAAGTTCCCCCCTTTAATGAATCTCTGTAATTAATTGTCGCCCATCAAGGATAATCAAATTTCTTAGTCTATAAATTAAGTAAGCTACACACAAATAAAAAGAAGAAGCTCATTTCTCTATTATGAGTATTTTTGTACTATATTAAATGATAAAAGAGGAGATATATAAATAAATAAAGAATAATAAATGAATAAGAAGAAAAAAACTGAGGTCACAAGGAATAAAATTGCGTAATAATATCTTGAGAGATATTGCTATAGATGTTTTAAATAAGACAAAAAAAAAGAGAGACGCTTTAAGGACGTTTTAAATGCGTTTTTATCCAGTCATTTGATACAAGAGAGATGGCACAAAATGATGTGGAAATAAGACCGAGGCCATTAGCGAGCCTTTTTGTGATGTTTAACGAACTGCTCTTTATGGTTTTTAGCGTGTACTTCTTTTTGAGGGTTTTATGTGAGATGCTTTATGATCGCTTTGATATGGCTAGTTGAAATTTTCATGTTATGATTCACAGAACTTCATGAGAAAAATCTTGGGATTTTAGTGATTATTACTTAAATTTTTTTGACACTAATACACAATCTAAGCCAGTCTGGTCTGGTTGGAACCGGGATCTCCAACTTGAGGAAAATTTATAGTCTTATCTTGTCTAGTTTAGTCGCTAGATTGAATAGTAAAAACTTCATTTTTGGAAGTTTTAATCAATTAAGCTGAAGTATGCATTTTGGCTTATAACACTGTCAGAAACAGATTGTGTGATGATCTTGCCAACTTTTAGATTCACTTTAAATCTTGAAAGGAGCAAACTAGCTGTAGATTCAAAGAAAACTCAAAAACAAATTTCGAGGTGATAACTTTTTTTGAATTTTACTAGTTTGAATTTTAAAAAACCGTTAAAATTTTAAACTGAGTTTTTAAGTCTTTAAAGAGCTTTTCAAGTTTAAAGCCACTTTATAAGCCATTTGGTGAACATTTATAAAGTTTTTCTCCAAAAACTCTCAGAAAAATTGCGCTCCAGGCACCCATCCAACTATAATGACGATATCTTAACCCAATTTTTTTTTTCGTCATTATTATTTCGTTTCCTTTCAATTTAAAAAAGAGAGAACTAAGAAGAATGCTGCTCTTCTTTTCAAAAATTAATCGTTTATGAAGCAGATAAATTTTCCTTATTTCATTTTGTGTACAATTGTATCATCTTCCCTATCCACTCATCCGACTTGAAATTTATACGTCTCATGATGAAAGTGATTTGCAATGCAAATTATTTATGAATTTAATTTTAAAATGTAGGAGAATGAAAAAGAGACGTCTCATGATGAAAGAGAAATTTCATCTCATTTTATTTTTCCTATGCGCATTATAAGTATATAAGTATGATAGTATATTTATGAGTGTATATCATATATTCTTCATCTCATCTCACGGTGAAATTTGTTGTCTTATTTTCTCTTCTGTGAATAACAATTTTTATAAGAAAATAATAATAATAATAACTTTTTTACATACACACATCACATGAAGACATTTTCCTTTTTTTTAATAATTTTTTTTCTTCATCTTTTCAGAGATGAAATTAATTGTGCGAAATAATTTACAAAGGAAAATCTTCTTTCAATTTCTTTTTTCATGCAGCTTTTCTCAGCTCGTGTTTGAAATTTTTTTATGGAAGAAAAATATTGAAAGCATATTTTTTAGCTCATTGTGGCTTGTGAATGTGAACTTTGAGGGGGTTTAAAAATAAAATTGAAAATTTAATAAAATTATTATTTTTTGGAATTTTTTAAAAGACTCTGAGGCCTATTCTATAGATAATACTAGTAATGTGGGTTATTCTGGTAATGAAGAACATCAAGGTAGACCTAGAAACCAGTCTCAAGCTCTGATTAATTTGGTTTGCGAGTCACTACTGATTTTTAATGTAGACTAGTTGAACCTTACTCACAAAACAATTGATCTTATTTTTCTTGGTCTTCTCAGAATCAGCCTATAAAGTGTACCTAATGCTAATTGTGAATTTGATCTTAAGTATATGGCTTAGTCTATTTTAAGTTGCTTTCTGATTTTGAAATAAAACAAATTTTCTATCTAATGCAAGGCTAGTGATTTCAATACCGGTTCAAAATTTCAATCCAGCGATCATGGTATTGAAAATTTCTGAGCGCTAGACTACTCAATCTATGCATGACACCAATGTGTTAATATTGCTGTGATCTGAGCAGTTTGAGAATCACTAGAGTCGAATAGAAAGAATTTCAATTTCAAGTTTTCAAGTTGACCTCCTTCAGCCCCCCCCCCCCCACCTTGGCTCTCGTATGGTAACTTAATGAAAGAATGCTGAAGATTAGTTGCATAGCAGGGGTAGCCAGGACCGACTTGAAGTTTAGCTAGTTGTTTAAAGCTAAGATGAATTTAAGTCAGAGCTTCCTGAAAGAACTGTCACAGACAGGACACAGTGTACCTGTTGACAGACAAGTAATTCAAGTCATCTTTGATTTTCCTCAAAAAAATACAATTCCAGGGACTTATAGGTCAGCTTTGAATTCTCAGCGATTTACTAAATTTATGGTAAATAAATATCAATAAAAATGACTTTAATATAGACAAAAATCTACAAATTCCCACAAATTCCTGCTTTATTAAATTCATTATTGCACCCCAACCCCTCAATGTTCATCAATTGCGCCCAAACTGATGGAAAATAATCAAAATAATGACGAGAAAAAGAAAAAAAAATCTCCATAATTTCAATATAGTTTCACTAAACAGAACGAAACACGAGAATGATGAATAATGATAATGATAGGACACATACAAACTTATACATACGCATACAAACAAACACTTTTTATAGATGTCTGTAGTATAGCTCATTAAATCTAAAAAAGGAAGGAAAAAATAAATAAAAAAAAATTTAAATTGTAAGATATAATAATATTAATAAAAATAATGAGGTTTTTTTGTATAAAAAAAAATTGTGAACAACAAAAGAGAGAAAAATTACTAAAAATAAGATGAAAATAATAGCTAAATGGCATATGATGATAATGATTCATAAAATTTATATAAAAAAAAACATGTGAAAGAGGACCCATTTCAGAATAAGAGAAATATGTTTATAGTCCTTGTCCTAATAACTAAAAACACACACACAGAGTAAA